AAGTGGAGCTAGAACCAAAGTAAATTGTGATCAGTCGACATGAATCATGCTATGAGTGTTGATTGGGCAGGTGGAGTGTCACGTGAACTGTTTCCTCATCAACAGGTGTTGTACCGAGCAATGTCTCACCTCTGTCGGGGAGTGAACGTTCTGGAAGGGCAGATACAGGAACAGTGGTTGGTTCTTGGGTGTTGATGACGTCAACGATCTTCTCTGTGAACACCCACTAGATCGTGATCATGAGAAGAAGCAGAAACGAATGGTAGCATTAGTACAGATCGAAACCCCACTGACAGCAACATTTCAGTGTTTCTGTTGACAATACAAGGGGCCTGGTATTGATCGATAGAGGCCCCTTGTCTAGCACCAAACACTTCTAGGTCAGAAGGAAAACAAAGTGACAGAAGCGATTGACCCGTGAAGATCCAGGGTAGAACAGGTCTTCAGCAACCCATGCTTGCCGTAAAAGGCGACAAGCGGGATCGGGTGGTCAGGCTCGTTGACTTGGTTGATGCATGCCATCGTATCCTAAATTGCGTGTACCGAGGCTCATGATGTCAGTTACTGGAGTGTCTGGTCCAGACTCGATTATTTTCAGAGTGCGGCGTTAAACAACACACAAACAAATAAAACCAGCATGGTGTGACGTACCACGTTGATAGACCCGATTAAGCACATGACTTACATTAGACTAAAGATAGATTTCACCGAGAATGACGTTAAGGTATCCTTGTTTTGAACTTTTAAACTTAATGCAACATATGTAAACCATTCTTACCGCTGTAAACATATCAATCTTTTGACTTGTACATTTGTTATTCGAGCTAAGTGAATGGAAATAAACGTTTATTTTAGTTTCACAAGTTGGTTTGATAATTGATTTGATCGTCCAAAAGACTTAAGTGCAATATCTACCCTATAGTGAAAGAAATAGTAGACTACACCAATGACTAGACAAAAATAATAATGCCTCATAGTGTTGAAACAAAAAGAATTTGCCTGCCACAAAAAGTACATTGTTGCAATGTGTTTTTCTTAAAATAAACTTCAGAATCATAGGTTTAAATACAAAATACCTGGTAGTTGAAAAATATCTTATCACGATTCTAAATCCCTCCTCCCTCCAGATACTGTAACATGATACACAGCGATTCCCTAACTCTACCCAGTACCAGTCCCTATCCCTACGAAACACAACCAAGGTTTGGGCTAGATTTAGCACGAACGAAACTAGGATAGTTGGCGTGATAGTTGACAAGAGCCTCCTCAAGTTAATCCAGATCATTTAACACGATACACATGGTGACACACCCATCCCTGACTCTGCCCCTTCCAATCCTCATCCCTATCCCGACGACAAACAACCAAGGTTTGGGCTAGATTTACTGTCACTGATGGCAAACGAACGAAACGGAAGAGAATATACGGGACAGTTGACACTACCCAATGGGCATATGGTAAGAGTACGCCTTGTTGTGGCATACATACTGTTCAAAGAAACTTAACACATAACTCACTCACTCACTCCATTGTTATCACCTTAGTGATAAACGTCTAAGACCTGCATCACTTAAGGGGACGGTCGGGTAGCCTTGTGGTTAAAGGTTCGCTCGTCACCCCGAAGACCCGGGTTCGTTTCCTCACATTTCGGGTGTTCCCCCGCCGTAATATCGCTGGAATATTGCTAAAAGCAGCGTAAAACCATACTCACTCACTCACTTACCTGAAGACCAGATTTGAAGGGAAAAACCGCAGACATAAATGCACTTCGGGAGCTGAAACATACGAACACTCGTCATTTGCAGTGAGTTTGTTATGAATGGCTGTTTTTTCTGTGTGCTGTGAATCGAAGTAAGAGTTTTCGCTTTGAATTTGACCATCAGCGTTTGTAAAGCATCGTTTGAACAGTATTCCACTTACTTTAACCCGCCAGTATATGTGGAGTTAAACATGTTACATTGAATGAACTGTTTCAATATTCTTGTGAAATAGACGTTGAATGACACTCATGTACTGCACAGCGGCTGTACATAGTTCCTGTCCAGTATCACACCATCTCGCGCCATTTTGTCCATATTAGGGGTCAGCATGTCACCGTTCCGGAAGCCAACATCGTTCCAGCCTGCAACAACCAACATCTTCTGACGGACCTCTGTGTTTGATAGCTGTACATGTATATTAAAACGACAGTTGCTTTTATGTTAGTTATTCTGGTTTGTAAAAACAACAAGATGAAAATTGTGACTTGGAGAGTTATTATATTTCGTCATATCATATGTCTACCGAAACAGATTCCATTGGGCCTTTAAGACACAATAGCAGTGAAAATTATATGAATGGATCACTGAAAATCTGTGATGACACGAGGTGTTCGCGCAAAGCGGTAAACATGCCCTGCCCGACTGGCAGCACCCGCCACTAACACTGGCTGAAGAAAAAAAGAAGTGTTTTTGCTTAAAGCTGCCAAACAGTCATCCTGTCATATGAGGGACAAGGGTGGTCCAGTCGTCTGGGGCGCCGCATTTCACTGTGGAGTCACTTCGACACCCAAGACACCTATGACTGTGGGTTCGAATCCCTGTTTGCCCCGATTATGTTTTTAGTTTTGTCAGCACCATACCCATGCTCGTTGGTTTCACCAAAGTGGTAAACGTCCTGATGAGACATGCATCACTTCGTGCTCTCCTCCCATATGAAGCTAACATGCTTAAGGTTATACGCCTCAAAGCGGAGTTAATTCCCTTACTCACTCCTGTTATACGAGGACGGCTTAAGGTTACAAAATAATGTTATCCTATCATGATGTCCTGGGTATAAAATATAAATAGGAAAACATATTGGACCCCTTAGTGAATTCTACAATCAATGACAACTTTGGGTCCTACATCAATGAGGGACCCGTGAAGATCCGGTCTTCAGCAACCCATGCTTGCCGTAAAAGGCGACTATGCTTGTCTTCAGAGGCGACAAACGGGATCGGGTGGTAAGGCTCGCTGACTTGGTTGATGCATGTCATCCATCCCAATTACGTTGATCGATGCTCATGACGTCAATCAATGGATTGTCTGGTCCAGACTCGATTATTTACAGACCGCCTTCATATAGCTGGAATATTGGTGAGTGCGGCGTTAAACAACAAACAAACAGACAAACAAACAAACATCAATGAGGTGAATCAGGATGGTTTCCCTGGACATTTGCCCTCCAAAGACCTACAGGTGGAGATAGCACCATGACGTCACAAACAGATAATACGGGGGACGAAATAGCACATATTACCAACAGTGTACTTAAACAGACACTGGCGAAGGTTACTGAACCGGTGCACTTTAAGACTGCCAACAGACAAACGCAACCTCTGTCCGCCATGTGCCGTCCTAACACAGGTCAGTGTCACGACCTCTGTCCTCTGTCGTCTGTCCTAATGGTCCGACAAACACTGTAGGCGTGTTTCTCATTGCTTACTTCGAGCGCTGCATCAGTCTCATTTTGAGGTTAATACTGGCTGGGGTATTTTCAGAACGGTAATATAGCCTGTAGTATTGACAATTGCTCCAAGATCTGGATACGGCCATGCCACACATGCGTGGCTGCTATGGGCCCCGAATAATTAAAATGCTGCCCACAACGGTGTAAATCACAAATCAATTACCCAATTCCCCCAATCAAGCCACTGGTTCGGCCGTTAAGACTGTTAACTGACCAAATCTATTAGCTATTACGTCGTGTAGAACTACGTCAATCTGATAACTCAACATACACTGTAGGGCAAAATAAAGTATACACTTGAACATTGGATATCACCAAAAGATTCCAAACATTAACAAACGTTTAGTCTGAAAACTGGCCGAAAAACTCCAAACGTGAGGTCTAAATACCCGTATCAAATACATCAACATTTGGTTCATTCTTAGACACCAACAAAGATGGGTGTATACTTTCGTTTGCCTGGCAGTTTATCTTGTGTTTCGAGATAGTCGAAGATACAGTTACAACTAACCCATTAGAAAAGGGTTTATCTTTCATAGACTTTACCTAGATCATCCGTAACGATGCATACAATATTGGGTCGCTGTGCGAGAACGCCGCCAATGAAGGCGAAGAGTAGGGCTGCTACTACTGTCGACATCATAGTGACTTCGCATCCCGTCTCAACTACAATATGTCTGGAAGCGTTTTCACAATATCTGGGGACTTGATATGGTGTTATCGGGGCAGACAGTGATATGATCAAGTGCAAGTGCAGGCTACAAATCACGTGATATAGGCACGGTGACAACCTTGCCACGTGTGACATATATGTTTATAACGAACTACGGTTTTAACGAACTAAAATTAGTGGCCCCTTTGAGTTCGTTATAACCATTGTATACTCTATTTAGTATATCTCTATTTTGCCATTTTGGCCTAAAGGTCAATTGATCTTGTTGCAGAAATCATGTTTCAATATTGCAACATCACCACAACATGTCTGTCGTTCATGTCGTCACGTCTTAAATTACCCAATTTAATATATAAATATACCCGTGAAGATCCGGGGTAGATTAGGTCTTCAGCAACCCATGCTTATCGTAAAAGGCGACTAACGGGATCGGGTGGTCAGTCTCGCTGACTTGATGCATGTCATCGTATCCTAATTGCGTGCATCGGTGCTCATGATATTAATGACTAGATTGTCTGGTCCAGATTCGATTATTTACAGACCGCCGTCATACAGCTGGAATATTGCTGAGTGCGGTGTTAAAGAACAAACCAAGCCCTTATAAATTAATATATTAGATTGGGTAATTGTAGAAGAGTTGCTGCATACGACAGGAAAAATAAACGTGTAACACCGACCTAAATACCCCCTTTGAACCATGTTAATATGGCGTGGTATCTCTGCCGATTTCACACTTGTCAAGGTTGTCACCGTCCCTATATCACGTGATTTGTAGCCTGCACTTACACTTGATAATATCACTGTCTGCCCCGATAACACCATATCAAGTCCCCAGATATTGTGAAAACGTTTCCAGACATATTGTAGTTGAGACGGGATGCTGAAGGCGAAGTTACTATGATGTCGACAACAGTAGCAGCCCTACTCTTCGCCTTCATCGGCGGTGTTCTCGCACAGCGACCCAATATTGTATTCATCGTCGCAGATGATCTAGGTAAAGTCTATGAAAGATAAACCTTTTTCTAATGGGTTAGTTGTAACTGTATCTTCGAATATCTCGAAACACAAGATAAACTGCCAGGCAAACGTTGGTGTCTAAGAATGAACCAAATGTTGATGTTTTTGATACAGGTATTTTGGACCTCACTTTTGAAGTTTTTCGGCCAGTTTTCAGCCTAACGTTTGTTAATGTTTGGAATCTTTTAGTGATATCCAATGGTCAAATGTATACTTTATTTTGCCCTACAGTGTATGTTGAGTTATCAGATTGACGTAGTTCTACACGACGTAATAGCTAATAGATTTGGTCAGTTAACAGTCTTAACGGCCGAACCAGTGGCTTGATTGGGGGAATTGGGTAATTGAGTTGTGATTTACACCGTTGTGGGCAGCATTTTAACTATTCGTGACCCATTGCAGCCACGCATATGTGGCCAGGCCGTATCCAGATCTTGGAGCAATTGTCAATAGTACAGGATATATTGCCGTTCTGAAAATACCCCAGTCAGTATTAACCTCAAAATGAGACTGATGCAGCGCTTGAAGTAAGCAATGAGAAACACGCCTACAGTGTTTGTCGGACCATTAGGACAGACGACAGAGGACAGAGGTCGTGACACTGACCTGTGTTAGGACGGCACATGGCGGACAGAGGTTGCGTTTGTCTGTTGGCAGTCTTAAAGTGCACCGGTTCAGTAACCTTAGCCAGTGTCTGTTTAAGTACACTGTTGGTGATATGTGCTATTTCTTCCCCCGTATTATCTGTTTGTGACGTCATGGTGCTATCTCCACCTGTAGGTCTTTGGAGGGCAAATGTCCAGGGAAACCATCCTGATTCACCTCATTGATGTTTGTCTGTTTGTTTGTTGTTTAACGCCGCACTCACCAATATTCCAGCTATATGAAGGCGGTCTGTAAACTATCGAGTCTGAACCAGACAATCCATTGATTGACATCATGAGCGATCCACGCAATTGGGATACGAGCACATGCATCAACCAAGTCAGCGAGCCAGACCGCCCGTTGTCGTTAGTCGCCTTTTACGGCATGCATTGGTTGCTGAAGACCTATTCTACCCCGGATCTTCACGGGTCCCTTATTGATGTAGGACCCAATGCTGTCATTGATTGTGGAATTCACTAAGGGGTCCAATATGTTTTCCTATTTATATTTTATACCCAGGATATCATCGTAGGACAACATTATTTAGTAACCTTAAGCCGTCATCGTATAACAGGAGCGAGTAAGGGAATTAACTCCGCTTTGGGCCGTATTACCTTTATAACAGCGTGTCAGCTTCATATGGGAGGAAAGCACGAAGTGATGCATGTCTCAGGCGTTTACCACTTTGGTGAAACCCACGAGCATGGGTATGGTGCTGACAAAACTAAAAACATTATCGGGGCGAACAGGGATTCGAACCAACAGTCATAGGAGTCTGGGATGTCGAAGGGACTCCACAGTGAATTGCGGTGCCCCAGACGACTGGACCACCCTTGTCCCTCATATGACAGGATGACTGTAGTGCAGGTTCAAGCAAAAAAACTGCTATTTTCTTCAGCCAGTGTTAGTGGCGGGTGCTGCCAGTCGGGCAGAACATCTTTGCCCCTTGCGCGAACACTTCGTGTCATCACAGATTTTCAGTGATCCATTCATATAATTTTCACTGCTATTGTGTCTTGAAGGCCCAATGGAATCTGTTTCGGTAGACATATGATATGACGAAATATAATATTTTAACTATCAAAGTCTCAGTTTTCATCTTGTTGTTTTTACAAACCAGGGTAACATAAAAGCAACTGGCGTTTTAGTATACATGTACAGCTATCAAACACAGAGGTCCGTCAGAAGATGTTGGTTGTTGCAGGCTGGAATGATGTTGGCTTCCGGAACCGTGACATGCTGACACCTATTATGGACAAAATGGCGCGAGATGGTGTGATACTGGACAGGAACTATGTACAGCCGCTGTGCAGTCCGTGAGTGTCATTCAACGTCTATTTCACAAGAATATTGAAACAGTTCATTCAATGTAACATGTTTAACTCCACATATACTGGCGGGTAAAAGTAAGTGGAATAGTGTTCAAACGATGCTTTACAAACGCTGATTGTGACAGTGATTGTCATCCATAACAAACTCACTGCACATGAAGAGTGTCCGTATGTTTCAGCTCCCGAAGTGCATTTATGTCTGCGGTTTTTCCCTTCAAATCTGGTCTTCAGGTAAGTGAGTGAATGAGTATGGTTTTACGCCGCTTTTAGCAATATTCCAGCAATATCACGGCGGGGGACACCAGAAATGGGCTTCACACATTGTGCCCATGTGGGGAATCGAACCCGGGTCTTCGGCGTGACGAGCGAATGCTTAAACCACAAGGCTACCCGACCGTCCCCTGAAGTGATGCAGGTCCTAGACGTTTATCACTTTGGTGATCACAATGGAGAGATGGAAAGCTCAAAAGGATTTAAAATACTTACATCCTCCTTGGCATGTATTAGTAATTCGAACCACCGACCAGATGATCATGTCATAACCAAGGGAGGCAACTTGACCATCCGAGCCTGGATAGAGTTGAAACCGACATATTTGAGTGATCTTAACACTATTTAATGCAGGCACTTATAATTTTCGTTAACGAAGTATCTGTAGTATAAAGTTATACAATATTCTATTATATATCAAAAATATATTTAAATATTATATACGAGCAGAAGAAAGGAACCGTGCTTCATATGAAGTGATGTAAATGTTATAAGATATGATAATCCGTCTGATCAATGTTTTATCATAACATGTTCGTTAACAAAACCCATACCCAGGTGAGGGTAACGACTCAATGAACAATGTCAATATCAGGTGCATCCACCACACAGGCGAGGCAGTAGCGGAGTAATGAGAACACCAAATGATTGCAAACAGCCTCGGGGAGAGGTCAGGAGAATAGCCTGACATGGCAGTACTGCAATGTTATGCTGCCTCCAACAGTCTGATACAACACGTGGAACATGTTGGCGGGCATTGCCACGCAACAATGTGACGTTATAATTACCTCCTTGCATTTGAACCAAGGGGAGAACATGATCTTGAACGATGTTGTCCTGGTTGGGTGCGCCATTCAAATTTCCATGACCAATGGTGAGTTGTGTTCACCCAAGAGTTGTGGTGTTACCCATACCATTACACTTCTACCCCTAAACCAACGACGTTGAGTAACGCAAGCGTCGCTAGAACGTTCTCCTTGATGCCTGTAGATCCTTGCACCACCATCAGAGCTGTCCAGCTGAAACCTGGACTCATCTGTGAACAGTATACTGTCCAAGTCTTGTCTTCTGAACCCCAGATGCTGTCTACACTATGCTAGAGGTGCTAGATGGTGTCGTGGAAGTTAGATCGGGCGTATCACTGGACATGGAGATGGGTATTGTGCTCCCTCAACCGGTAGCATACAGCTCTGCCACTAATTGGTTTCAACCAAGGCATTGACCGAGCTGTTAGGTATTTGATATTCTGGGAAGGGTGGCGGGTCCTGGATTTTTATCGAAAAAAATAAATTGTCCCAGAACATTCTTGAACCAAAATAATTATGCCTTATTGTGCTGAAAAAAACGAATTTGCCAGAAAAAAGTACATTGATGCAACAAAATAAACTTCAGACTCATAGGTTTAAATACAAAATACCTGGTAGCTGAAAAATATCTAATCTCGACTCTAAATCTCTCACTCACTCACTCACTCACACACTCACACACTCACACACCCACACACCCACACCCACACTCACACACACACACATACACACACACTATTGAATTTTAAATGAAGCTTGGTTACTGTTTTGGGTTAGTTTTTTATGAATGTATTCTTTAATAATATTTTTTTCTAGTTACATTTGTTATGCATTTTATGATAAAACTAGAATCGTTAAAATCTTGGTAGCTATTATGAATAGATAAATATAGATATGAGCTTTACCAACAACGTTATAAAACGTCACACACGAGACGTCATCTGACCTGGATCACTGAGAGTTATCTCCCATTGCAGTACGAAGTGATAGGTCATAATCAGGCTGTGTGTTTCCCACTAAATTACACACTTCTACCCCAAGAGCTGAAGAAGTTAGGATACGCAACTCACATGGTGGGGAAGTAAGTTGTGGCAGACACCATGACCGTGTTTGCATGTAGTATACAGGATGTCTTCTGAGCTGTGATAGTTGACATGACAGTTGATATGACAGTGATTCACGGCAGGTGAGTTCAGATCCATTAACATGATACACAGCGATTCCCTAACTCTACCCAGTACCAGTCCCTATCCCTATGAGACACAACCAAGGTTTGGGGCAGATTTAGCACGAACGAAACCATGATAGTTGGCGTGATAGTTGACATGAGCCTCCTCACGTTAGTTCAGATCATATAACACGATACACATGGTGTCACACCCATCCCTGACTCTGCCCCTTCCAATCCCCATCCCTATCCCCACGAGATACAACTGAGGTTTGGGCTAGATTTACTGTCACTGATGGCAAACGAACGAAACGGAAGAGAATATACGAGACAGTTGACATATGGTAAGAGTAACCTCCCTTTCCAGCATCAAGTCATTGGAGCTAAACAATCAGTCTGCCTGCCCCTCAACTACACCATCCTCCCACAGGAGCTGAAGAAACTCGGCTACGCCACACACATGGTTGGCAAGTGAGTACACAATCTTAACACCTCAACAATCACGTCAAACAAGTACAGAATGACTTTGGCAAGGAATGATAAGGAATGCTTGACTTTTCCTGAATCTTATATTGAAGACATGTATCCATATGTCTCATTCTTTACTCATTAAGCAATCAGTGATAATTTGGGGGGGGGGGGGGGGGGAGAGGGGGGGGGGGGGGGGAGGAGGGGCTTGGTCTGTCAGTTACGAAAAAGTGGTAAATGTCTTCCCCCTCACAGGCTCAAATATTACTGTTTATAAACCTCCAGTGATGCATTTCCATTACTACAACAGGTTGTTCTTTTCTCCGAAAATCGCTCTGCCCACAGGGTTTTCTACAGAAGATCCCTCTGCCCACGGGATTTTCTACAGAAGACCCCTCTGGCATTTTGAAAAAAAATAAAGTTTTTTCATCAACGTTTATTTCATGAAATGTTTACAGAAGTCTACGCGATGTGGACATTGAAAACAATAGGACGTCCACTTCTGGTTGGCTCATCTGGAGTTACTGGCGACTGTGTAGGCGTTAGTTTTTCCGACTTGTCAGAAATAGTCACGCATCTCCGTTTCGGATCGGCACCACAGATAATTGCAGACACTGCCGACTTCTGTTGATCAGATGTACGCTTGTACGACCACACAGCTTCACTTCGGTACCCTGAAATTAAAATTAATATGTTAAAAACTGGTTTCAATGGCACATTCATTTGCAGAACAGTAAACAAAATTGAAAATTCACAACGTAAACGACTATCGTATTGTTCCGTTCCCATTGACAATCAAGGCACTGCTTCAAGTTCTAGATCTTGTTTCATGCCTAAATTAATATGTATTATCGACAGCAGCATTGTACTCACCATAGAAAGAGGACGCAGTTATAAAAAGACCGTCTTCGTCGCTCCCCTCATTGTGCAAGTTGCGTCAAAACTGACTGCAGCTGAACACACGTGATCCCAAGTCATAGCATCTAGCACGCACTGCATGCACTCCACATGCACGATCACGCGAAGCGGTTGCGTTCGAGCTGTACGCATTTGACTGATAACTTTCGACTGCTACAATTGAAATTTCAGAATTAAAGTTATGTCATGTAAACAAAAAATCTTCCTCATATCTGTCGGTTTATAAGTCAGAGATTAACCTTCTCCTATGGCTATCCGTGAAAATAATGCACTCCAGTGCAGGAAAAGCCCATGGGCCTACGGTCCGCGGGCTTTTCCTTTGCCGGACTGCATTATTTTCACGGATAGCCCGCGGGGGCGGTTTATATCCTATACTTATATTGGCTCTCACTCATAATGAATTCAGTTAATAAGGGACAAACCAAACTGATTATCACGAACACAGCAATTGTTAACGTAACGCTGATTAATCGTATACTTTGAAACTGCTTCGTTTTCTTCAGTAAGAATACTCACAAGAATTTCGAACCACATAATTCAAAATACTTCGAAGATCCATCGAAATGTGAATACAGGATGACACATTGTCCACTCCAGATGGCACCTGGGTTTCTGTGAGTGGGGATGCACACCAACATACCGGGGCTTCGATACTTTCTTCGGCTACTATAATTCAAAGGAGGACTATTACTTGCATAATATTTGTAAGTACAACACTAAACCCATCCACAATGGGGGTATGCGTTCTACCCATGTCAGGAAGTAAACCAAACCACATTACTGACACAGGTCGACACATAATGTGTCTGAAAAGGGGGCGGGGCTTCTACCACCTGAATCCCATTTGATCCAGATACACACTTGACTTGTCTGTCTAGTCATTGGTGTAGTCTACTATTTCTTTCACTATGCGGTAGATATTGCACTTTAGACTTTTAGACGATCAAATCAATTATCAAACCAACTGGTAAAACTAAAATAAACGTTTATTTCCATCAAAAGATCCAGTCAAAAGATTTGCATGGTTACACATATCGTCACGTGTGTGTTTCAGCCGGGTTTTTAGACTTCAGGAACAATAAGGAAGCGGAATGGGATTACCAAGGGACATATTCAGCGGTAAGACTGGTTTACATATGTTGCATTAACCTTTGAAAGTTAAATACAAGGATACCTAAACGTCATTCTGGGTGAAATCTATCTTTAGTCTAATATCAGTAATGTGCTTAATCGGGTCTATCAACGTGGCACGTCACATCGCGCTGGTTTTATTTGTTCTTTTGTGTGCTGTGTAACGCCGCTTTCACCAATATTCCAGCTATATAACGGCGGTCTGTAAATAATCGAGTCTGGACCAGACAATCCAGTGATTGACATCATGAGCATCGATCCACGCAATTTGGATACGATGGCATGCATCAACCACGTCAACGAGCCTGACCATCCCGATCCCGTTAGTCGCCTTTTACGACAAGCATCGTCGCCTTTAACGGCAAGCATGGGTTGCTGAAAACCTGTTCTACCCTGGATCTTCACGGGTCAATCGCTTCTCTCACTTTGTTTTCCTTCTGACCCAGACGTGTTTGGTGTTAGACAAGGGGCCTCTACCGATCAATATCAGGCCCCTTGTATTGTCCACAGAAAGACTGAAATGTTGCTGTCAGTGGGGGTTCGATCTGTACTAATGCTACCACTTGTTTCTGCTTCCCCTCACGATCCAGTGGGTGTTCACAGAGAAGATCGTTGACGTCATCAACACCCATGACAAGAGCCAACCACTGTTCCTGTATCTGCCCTTCCAGAACGTTCACGCCCCGACAGAGGTGAGACATTGCATGGTACAACAAGAGCTGTAGAGGAAACAGTTCAGGAACATCTTGTCACGTGACACTCCACCTGCCCAACTAACAGTCATGGCAAGATTCATGTCGATTGATCACAATTTACTTGTTGTTAGCTCCACTTTTGTGATGTAGTTCCATCTAGCAGTCGATATTTGATTATCCTATTACTAAGAGACATAGTAGTTACAACGTTTACCCAAACTGGAAATTCTCTGTCCTGTGGAACAAAGTACCCCGATAGTACCAACAACCACCTTATACAGATCACGTTGCATATAAACATAGCTAGTTTAATATCTGGTGCCTATATAAACTGCCTGGCAAAAAAAACTATAAACACATGTTTGGTGGAGGCTACAAATATAACAAACAAAAATGGTTATTCGGTAATGTCTTTGAAACAGGTATCATAGTTGTGTTTCGACGAATGTTTTCAGCCTAATGTGGTTTTGATGACGTTTGTAATTATTTGGGCAGATCCAAATTTCAAGTGTATACTTTCCTTTGTGTAGATGAAACATGTCCATACAAGTCTTTTTTATTTGTACAAAATATGTGTCTTGGAAAATGTATATGAATAATGTGATATTAATGCTGTCATATTTTCTGATACTGGTGTTAATCAGCTGCCAAATGATAATTTTGATGGGTTTTTTTCAAATGCTATATGATACATATGCTATTCACCTGTTATATGATATACGGACGTATATCATATTCACATGCTATATTATATAGATGTTATTCGCCTGTCATATTGTTTAGATGTAATTCACCTGTTATATGAATAGATGTTACCACCTGCATGCATATTTTGTTCACAATCAGTATAATCTGAACGTCACTATGTTGCAGGTCCCCAAGATATATGAAGATAGGTTCCCACATGTTGTGAATAAGGGAAGGCGTGTGTTCAGTGGTGAGTATTAACCGCCCTTGAGACATGTGACCAGCCAATGCATGATAACCTTGATGTAAGCCTTCTCGGGTCGCCCTGTGATCTACGATGTTGGATCTCCCTGTGTACAGTTACGTCCCTTACACGTACCAGGATTCCCTGGTCATGGTTTAATTCCAATCTCAGATTCATAACGATTATGACCCTTGGTGACAGCACTATACCCGAGCTGATAGGTTTCACCAATCACGTTGACGCCGACTACCCGCGTGACCTTGACCTTTCCTGCCATTGATTAGCGCACTATGATATGAACAAAAGATAATGTTCAGGCGGCGTTTAAATCCAACACACTTTGAGTAGACATACTGATATGATAGTACGCAATTAGTTTAACTGATTCGCGATGACGACCAAACAGAGGATAACGAGGCATGCATTACATACAGTCGAACAGACAGGATAGGAAGTCAGATCCTTTAAAGTGAAAAAACTGATAAAGTGAAAACACATGTTGGAGGTGATTTGCATATACTGTACATGCTCTTGGACCAATCAGATGTAATGACTTGCACATACCTACTCATGGACCAATCAGATGGGATGACTTGCTCATGAACCAATCAGATTGGATGACTTGCTCATGAACCAATCAGATGTTGATTTGCATATATCTACTCATTTAACATGACCTTGTATCATGGACGTTCAGAGTTCATATTAGTTCAAACAGGTGCAGTGATTCAGGTTGATACGACAAATGCCTTTGTATATTGTTAGCGTGCGTCATCATTATGAGGATATTTACAACTTTGCAGGTATGGTGAATGCCCTTGATGAAGCTATAGGGAACGTGACTGACGCCTTGAAGGAGAGAGGGCTGTATGACAACACACTGTTCCTGCTCACAGCTGATGTACGTGACTACCTTTGTTTGTTGTTCAACGCCGAACCCTGAATATTCCAGCTAGATGATGGTGGCCTGTACATTATCATAGATCAGAAAAAAACAGTGATTGATATCATGAGCAACGTCCCACAACCTCATGTACGATGACATGACAAAGTCACCGAGCTTGACCCGTCGATCCATTTAGTGGATCCTTTACGACCAGCATAGATTGTTGTTTAACGCCTCACTCAGCAGTATATATGACGACGGTTTGTAAATAATCGAGCCTGGACCAGACACTCCAGTGATACTGACATCATGAAAATCGATCTACGCAATTCGGATACGATACCAAGTCAACGATCCCGAGCCCTTTATACTCCATATTCCAGAGTAGACTATATATATATATATATATATATATATATTATATTATTTGCAGTTGGTATATTGTAAAAACTGTATGACATATTGTACATTGTGTTTTAAGTTGTAAGTGTTGACATGTACCTTGAAAGCGTGTTGTTGCAGAACGGAGGGGAGATATTTAGTCACGGCAACAACTGGCCCCTGAGAGGAGGCAAGCACTCTCTGTGGGAGGGGGGTACGAGGGTGACGGCGTTCATGTCGGGGGCGGGACTCCAGAAGACGGGCTACACGTATGATGGGTAAGTGACCTCTCATGAATACCATTTCTTAGCTTGAATTGTGGAAACAGCCTGTTAGTTACTGCATTCGCTCGTCACGCTAAAGACCCTGGTTAGAATCTTAATTACATTAGTACAATGCTTGAAGACAGTCTCTGGTGTTGCCCATACATTTAGCTGGCAGAGAATGGTTCATTTATGTTGCTGGTTGACGTCATGTATGTTGCTGGTTGATGTCATGTATGTTGCTGGTTGATGTCAAGTATGCTGCTGGTTGATGTCATGCATGTTGCTGGTTGATGTCATGCATGTTGCTGGTTGATGTCATGCATGTTGCTGGTTGATGTCATTTATGTTTCTGGTTGACGTCATGTATGTTGCTGGTTGATGTCATGTATGTTGCTGGTTGATGTCAAGTATGCTGCTGGTTGATGTCATGCATGTTGCTGGATGATGTCATGCATGTTGCTGGTTGATGTCATTTATGTTGCTGGTTGACGTCATGTATATTGCTGGTTGATGTCATGTATGTTGCTGGTTGATGTCATGTATGTTGCTGATTGATGTCATGCATGTTGCTGGTTGATGTCATGCATGTTGCTGGTTGATGTCATGTATGTTGCTGGTTGGCGTCATGTATGTTGCTGGTCGGTGTGAGTGTTGTACAATGGTCTATGTCATACTGAGATGTGTAATGGCGTCCACTTAAACCAACAGAGAGTCAAATAGTTATATAAATACGCATTTACTTTTATACGTTACATGATTCTGAAGTCATGCTTTAAACGAGAATGTAGTGTGACTTTCCCTCACGCCTCTTTTTAAATAATCAGCGTTACTTTCTGTTTAGAATGATCCACGCTGTAGACTGGCTACCGACTTTGGTTTCCGCCGCCGGAGGAACGCCGGGTAATTGTGATAACATACTGTGTAAAATGTATGTGTATACTTAATGAAAGAAAATAGTCTTGCTAGTAATTATATAAGTATTCAAGTTCTGAACAGGACTTACAGGTTGGTATGTGCAGTGTCTGTTTTAACAAGTTGTCCTGCCATGAATCTAGCGTCAGTTCACATGTCTACATGTTACATCCCCAGATCCAGACGGAACCGTTCCAATCCAATCGTCCATATTAAATTGACCACCAATGAAGATTATTGCCCCTTGTTTGATCCGTCTTGTCACAGTAAAGGTAGTGTGTGTTTATGTGATGCAGTGACCGACAGAGACGGGATAGATCAGTGGGACTCTATCAGGAATGGCCTCCCGTCCAAGAGAACAGAGTTCATCTACAATCTTGACTACCTTGTTATACCGAAAGAAGGCCAAGCTGGCATCAGGTAAGAGACTGAAATATAACACAGGAAGTAAGTAGATCAGGGCAAAGGTAAGTATGCCGAGTTTGTGTTTTGTGTAATTGAAAATTGAAAGAACTATATTCGGTTATGTCTATTTAACCAGCACTAATTCCTGCAGCAGTTTGTAAAAATAAATGGCAGGGTAGTCTTGTGTAAATATAAATTGGTACAAAGCTAGGGTAAAAAATGAATTTACAACCAAATGATCCCTACCATGTTTGAAATGAAAATGTGCGCCGAAAAGAGAAAGTCGGTGATTTTCAAAGATAAGATGTCTGACATAGCCATGAACAGTTGTGTATTATGCGAAAACATCTTTTTACATGACAAATTTAGAATTTGAATTATTTTTTAAAAATATAACCATACAGAAGTATTCTAGTGCTGCCTAAGCTCCGATAAATTCTTTGTTTTATATAAATATGATATTTTAAGATAACTTAAAATGCTTTCAATTGAAAATTAAGCATATGATAAAGTCAACTGCTTCTTAATTTTTTAAACCTGTCGTCCGCAATCAGGATACTACCTTCTTCAAGTCACTTGACCCCACAATAGACGTAAGGCATGCGCCTTTTCAATTAATTAAGCTCCCAACTGTGCAACCATGCAAAATATCTTGCAGTATGTTTGTATGTTTTGTGTGTTTTTTTTAAGGATGGGCAATTACAAACTGCTGCTTGGTTACCCTGGACAACAAGATGGCTGGCACCGTCCCATGAACAACACTGAAGATGATATATACGAAGAAATAATTTATGACCTTGACCCTGATAAAGCACAGTTATTTGATGTAATAGGTGCATATTTAATTATCACATCATCACCCAAATTAATATACTTCATACAGATCTATATGGTATTGATGAATACGATGTCTTTATTGTATGTAAGAAATAAATTCACTTGAGAAATACTTATTTTTTACCTCATTACAGAAATATTATAAGGGTAATACTACGTTTGCAAATTTATTTAAATCCTGTGATATTAATGTACTACGGTGGGTAGCTTTATATATATATATATTATTTAAAATGAGGTCGACAGAGATATAACACTCTGGACACGTGACCTAATGTAATATGTACTAGGGGCCATGTGGCCTGAATTACGAAGCCAACAAACAAACAACAAGTGATATACAATCAACACATATGTTACAAAATTAACTAGGTTCACAAATCAATACAAATTACTACTACTTCGCGTAGCTAGATGCTCACGATGTCGATCACTTGACCCAGTCAAGCTCTCACCAATGATTGTATCCGTTTCAGCGGACCCCACAGAGCGACATGACCTGTCCTCCCAACTACCAGACGTTGTTGCAAAGCTGAAGTCTCGCCTTCTGGAGTACCGAAAGCAGATGGTACCCCCCAACTTCCCCGACCCCGATCCACAGTCCAACCCCATGAAGTATGGCAACGCTTGGACGCCTGGCTGGTGCAAACTCTAAGAATGTGTCTCTTCATAATTCTTCATGTCGCGTAACGAGCTTGAACAAGACGTACAAGCTTTCATCATCGAAACATGTTTGCAGTCTGAATATACATACAGTAAACTACGGTTATAACGAACTCACAGGGACCACTAATTTTAGTTCGTTATAACCGTAGTTCGTTATAAGCATATACAGAATATGTACAGCAAATGGTCAGGACAAACAAATAAGTTCGTCATATCCGTCAGTAAGCATGTTCGTTATAAACGTAGTTTTCTGTACACGCATGTTTGCTTGATCATAAATCAGTGCGGGTTGCTTTAAATGTTCAATGTACTAACGGAGTACCGTTATATGCGACTGTAGCAATACATAACCGCAGCGATTTCAATTATCGTCTGTGGATCTATAATTTAGTTACTGGCTAAAATTGAGTGTGAAAAAAACGAACTGAATAGAATTGTAATAGCGGTAGTCTTTTCATTATTCTCTGGCGTCTCACACAGACACACAGACACAGACACAGACACACACACACACACACACACACACACACACACACACACACACACACACACACACAAATAAAATATAACCAGAGTTGTCTCCCTTGGTAAACAAGCCAGTGCAACGAACGCTGATATTCTAAAGGACATCTCTTTCCAATAGCAATGCGAAGGGTGGGTATTCCAGAAAACCAATGATCCCAAACAAAACAGAGCGAAGCATTCTCGGGAATGGTTTAAGGAGCATGATGTTACACTCCTGGAATGGCCCAGCTAAAGTCCGGGCCTGAACCCGACTGAAAATATTTAGGGAAACATGAAGGACAATGTCAATCAAAACAAGGCAAACGGTGAACAGTGCTCACTGACACCCCCTATTCAAAACGTGAAAAAAACCATATTTTCTCTGGAAATCCACTTATTAAAGTCAAACTATGCACTGTACCTCTCCCATTGGTATAGAAGATGTACTTCGATTTGAAAATGAGTCCATTCAGTAGTTGAAGTAAAAAAATTCTATGTCCAAAACATATAGAAATTATAGTTTTCAGAAAATATACTTATCATATTTGCACTGCACCTCTCCTAATAGTATAGAAATAGTTCCTGTAATTTGAAAAGAATCCATGCAATAGTTTTCAAGTTATATGTCGCACAAATGTTTAAGTAAAAACATCTTAACACAAAAACTGTAAAGAAAAGATGTATTTTTTCTGATAGTCCAAATATTTAAAATCAAACTTTGCACTGCACCACTCCTATTGGTATAGAAAGTGTTCACCACGTTTGAAAATAATCTTTGCGCTAGTTTTCATGTTATTGGTCGCACAAAAAATGTCCTCTGAAGGACTAGCGCACGGAATTCCTTGGTATAATTATATACTCGCGCTTCTTTGGTATAATTATATACTACACTCGAGGTTCGAGGTATAACAATCGAATGGTATGGGGATGGGATTACAGCAAGACAGAGGACCCGTATTATAGTGGTAGAGGGAAATCTCAATGGACAGCGCTACCGCGACGAGATCATCGGCCCTGTTGTTCTAACGTTTTTGCGTCGTCATGGCCCAGGCATTTCCTTTTAACATGACAACGTCCGGCTTCATATTGCTCGACTTCTTCAGGATTCTCTTCAACAAAACAACGTGAACTTCGAAACATGCTCCAGCAGGACTTTGTACGACGCCTGGTCCATTCCATCAGACGAAGATGTGTTGCTTGCATCGCAGCCAGAGGTGGACACACGCTATTGATTTGTAAATTCACATTTTGGCATGTTCATGTTTTTATTATGTAATCACGCATTTTCTGAAGTCAGTATGGCAAATTAAACCATTTGAACACTTACAAGAGTCTTTTATCTGTTGCAAACCGAAATTGTTTCAGAATTGGTAAAAAACATAAGTTTGCATTTAATCTTATTCAATGTCACAGGAACTTTTGTTGTTCAGTATATTTACAAAATGTCCAGGGGAATATAGTTTAGATTCAGAGATCTTACTTGGTTTTCGGTGAATGCCTTTATATCATGTGTCGCAAAGTGCTATCGCTAATAAAAGTTATAATTGTAAAAAAATAATTTTTCAGTGATCTTTTTGGGAAATTGTAAATGCTGAAAAAATATCGGTGGTCTGCAGAAGGACACGGATCCGGAATGGTTTCTGTTACGCGTACTGTGATGGCGACCATGAAGGGCGAGATGAACAAGGGGTAGCTCTTTAGCCAAATATCAGGCTAACATCAGTACATTTAGTCCACCAAGCAAGTCATAAAGCTCAATCAATGGCCTTAAAATCTATAGCTAGTATGTTAAAATGTTCTCGGTAGTGTCAAGAAAAGCACGGAGCCGATTCGGAAGCATGGACTACAGACAACAAATTCTCTCAGTTGACAAGGAAGGTTCTCTACAAGGTTACTTTAAACATATTGATAAAAACTTAAAATCTATATACAAACATGAACAACAATACGTCCGATTTTTAGTCACGGTAATATATGGTCAGAAATTTGAGAATTGAATGATAAACTTATAAACTCAGACGATCAGTTGGATAATCCTGACACTAGAAGTCGTAGAATTAATTATCTCTTTTGGAGATTCTGCTGCTAAACCATCTCCTCTGAAGTACTCAAAATAACCGTCTTCAAATTTCGCGCTAATTTGTTTAATTGGAGCACGTCTTATTTTCAGCCAATCAGAGGACTCGTTCGATTCTGACGGCGGCTGAACATCTAGTTCCGCTCGCCTTTCGTGACAATTATCCAAGCTCGCTGCATAGACTATCGATATTTCCATATGTGAGTGGCTTAAATCGAGTGTACATGACTTGTACAGGTAGAGAAAGTACTTATCTATCGATTTACGGCTAGTGTGTTTGTCAATAAGCGAATGAGGTGCCTTTCAATACTTATATATGTTGGGGGATAAATATTCATATTTACTGACCAGTAGCGAGTTCCTGTGGCGTCGAACTGTTAACTGCGTGATACAATCCAGGCCACGTATAAGTCAGTAAGTATGAGAACATGGGCATGTCTATCATAATGCAAAGTGATACAGGGTACCAGTACATCATGCATTGTGTGGAAGAAAGTCCATCTGTTTGGCGGCTACAGTGTTGTGATAGCTGTTTTTTTTAAAAAAAGAATATCAAAGGGCACTAAACCAATGTCACTCCCTCACTATCTAAATCAACAATAGAGGTTGTAATATTTTCCACTCTCATGATCAGAATGATCTGCGTTTCCGCACGTTCTGTCCTGTTCGGGCTATTGTCAGTATTCTCATATGTCCATATATGTCCATATAATCATCACCAGAGATGTCTGCTATTGATAAAGATGCTGATGTTGACGGCACATCAGCACTGAAAGAATATTTATGTATTCCTTGAGAGTGATCATGACAATGCCAAGATGAGTGAGTATGGTTTTATGCCGCTTTTAGCAATATTCCAGCAATATCACGGCGGGGGACACCAGAAATGGGCTTCACACATTGTACCCATGTCGGGAATCGAACCCGGGTCTTCGGCGTGACGAGCGAACGCTTTAACCACTAGGCTACCCGACCGCCCCAATGCCAAGATGAAATATTCTCGGGTTATATCACTAATCATGATGCGCTGAGAGTGTTTCGATCCGGATTCCTTGTTTGTTGTTTAACGCCGCACCCAGCAATATTCCAGCTATATGACGGGGTCTGAATAATCCAGTCTGGACCAGTCATATCCAGTGATTGACATCATGAGCATCGATTCACGCAATTGGGACACGATGACATGTACCAACCAAGTCAACGAGCCTGATCATTTGCTGAAGACCTATTCTTGTGTCTCTGGAGTGTCTGTACATTTCAGATCCCGAAGTGCATGCATGTCTTGTGTTTGTCCCTTTAAATCTGGCCTTCATGCAAGTACTCTAATCGGAGTTTGTATGGAAAATAACGATACATCATATACCCTCAAACCTCGTCATGTCGAGGTAAATATCAGTGGGTACTGTCCAGCGAGAAAAAGGTAGTCGCTACCAGTCCTACCAACTTCCGGTTTGGCATGGATACCCTCTGTTGGTTATATGCCGGCGGTAGGTAATCGAGACTATCCCCGGATTGACAACATGAGCATCGATGTACTATCCTCACCCGGTATTCCCACTGCACAGTAATACTAGTTTGCCTGTATTTCAGATATGCCAATATGACGGTAGAAATTTTCAGAAAAATATCTTTTTATTAGAAATTAGGTTTACAACCGCCATCATAATGTGTTGTGCAATCATCAGTAGAGCTGTCGGCCTCGGGGCTTGTTTCCCGGGAGTTGTCGGGCGTCGTTTCCCACTTCTCAGGGTTTGGCGCCGTTTGCCCGATTTTCAGGGATTGCTGTCGTCTATCTGCCCTCCCCCGTCATCCGGGTCGTCGTGCATTTCGTGATGGACGTCTCTAGATTCACGGATCGGATCTGATGAAAAACAATTACAATGTAACCTGTACCACTCGAAGTTGTCCGGATATTCCAATGTACGGATATTCAAATGTCCGGATTAACAAGTCTGGAAACGTACACTACCCAATAGTGCTGAGTCAAACTATTTGGAAAAATAAAACTGTCAAACATTGCAGTCCATCGTCCATACGAAGATCAACGATTACGAGCCATTACTGCATATTTTTCAAAAATGATGAATTATCGTTCGACTCATCACTTGTTTGGTTAGTAGAACATGTCATCATTTTAATAGTCAAGATAGCAGGGCCTCCGAACACGAGGTTTCCCTGTATATCTGGGTATACACAATGTCATCGTCTGGTTCAGACTCCATTATTTACAGACGGCCGTCATATAGCTGGAATATTGCTGAGTGCGGCGTTACACAACAAACAAACAAACAAACAAACAAACTGTAAATCATGTCTGGGCAGACAACCCAGTGGTTGATAGCATAAGCAACGTGCCACAATAGGACAGTCGCATGTCACAGTCTCATTCTCTGAGAAGCACCGATAGCTGGGTAATCCCGCACGGTTCGCATGGGGTTAGCAGAAACAAGGATTCGATAAGCGTACATCAACATGTTGCATCCTTACTCAAACAGCGACATGATAACCGCAGCAGAATCTGTGGAGGCTTGCAGGACAGCGTGCAGTTCCCTGTCAACAGAATTCACCATTAAACATAGGATCGCATTGAGTGAGTGAGTTGGGTTTAACGCCGCGTTGAATAGCATTATTGTTATGTCACGGCGTGTCAATTTAATCTGGGAGGTCTCAGACGTTTAGCACTTTGGTGAAAATGACGAGCACGAGTATGGTGTTGACAAACCTAGGGACATAATCGAGGCGAACCAGGATTCGATCATAGGTTTCTGGCGTCCCAAGGAACTATAGCATATATATGAACCAACCCAATATACCTTATATATCTGCATATATATATAACTAGACGCCAATGTGATTTTACGTCAGTCATGTCAGTTACCAAGTAAATCTCTCAGAGGAATTACCCATCTGAGATCCGCTCGCCTTCATTTTGACTGGGGGACATGGATGGCCCAGTCGTCTAAGGCGCCGCGATTCGCTGTGCAGAGTTGCGACCCTTCGGCACGCCAGAAACCTATGATTGTGGGTTCGAATCCCGGTTCGCCCCGATTATGTTTCTAGGTTTGCCAGCACCATATCCGTGGACGTGGGTTTCACCGAAGCGGTAAACGTCCGTTAAAAGGGGCGTTAAATCCAACTCTCTCATTTTGACTGACGCGTGGACACACTGTAACGTTAGTTCCGGCTTCGATAGCATT